GAAATGGCACAGAATTCTTGAAAATCAATATTTTTCGATCTCTCTTCAGGAGACTTTCAATAGTAATACCCAATTGTTTATTTAACCCTCTTTGAATACTAACAAATTTTTATTGGCCTCCCAATTTTGGAGGTTTTGGGGGTTGTTGGCGGACCTATAAATTATAGTTACTATCAAAAAATAGCTAAATAAACAATTGAGTATTACTGTTGGGAATCTCCTGCAGACAAACAGAGTTTTCCAATCGAAAAATATTGATTTTTAAGAATTCTATACTATTTCTACGAAAAGTTGTTTTTTCTTCATAAAAAATACAGCGAAAACTTTGAACGCTCAAATTTGGGCGACTTCTAAATATTTATTTAATTCAAAATAAAAAATAGGAGTACACTTTTTTTCGATATAGAACAATACTAGGGGGTTGGGAGCATTAAAATTCTGACTTTATTTTTTCACATGCATTTTTGGACCACTCTGGTATGCATACATAGCCTTAATTTAGAAATCAATAAGGCAACATAAGTTCGAAGTATTTTGAATTACAAGTTAAACAGAAAAAAATGAAGGAACAATTTTCACTTAGCGAGACGTTATATACGTGTTGATTCGCCTTCGACTATATACAGTTGAATCATTCAGAGTCATGCCAGGAGTCAAGTCGGTGTAACTAACACATATTTATTATCTTACTTTCAATTTTTCCCTTTCAATTTTGATCAGTTGTTCAGCATTGGTATATGAATTTTGTGAAAACAAAAAAAATTCTTAGCTTCTGCATGCTAAAATGTTATTTTACAATGGAAATAAAAATGGAAAATGGTCTTCAGAAGCTAGTTAGTTACATTTAGGGAGTTCACAAGGTGTTGTATACTGTCGTACTGTTGTATGTCATAAACTTTAAACGGCTAAAACTATATTTAAGGAATTCGCAAGCTAACATAAAAGTCATGACCCAAAAAGACAAGATCACGCGGGCAGGAGACTAGCCCGTTAGAATCGCATTAAGGAAAAAAGTTGAACGATTTTGACATTAGCCGTTTATTTACATTTCTTCGTTGTTTACAATTTGGTGGTGGCATTTTACTGCAATTTTCTTCATTTTCGCTTGTGACAACGTGTGTACACATAAGATAAAGAATAATTTAACACAACGGCATGATTTTTAGAAGAATTTGCATAATAAAAATGATTTTTCATGCGTTCAACAATTTCGCGGTTTTCTCCGTTCTCTTCGTTGTTTACTTCTTACAGCAAAGATGGCGTCGAGATTTCGGCAGCTAGAAAATAACTTTTTTTCGTTCTTTCCGTCCCGCGTGATCTTGTGTCTTTCGTTCATGCATAAAAGTTTTATTATGAAATTCCACACAATTAAAAAATAGTTGGTGGTGATTTCAAGTCCTCTAAACATTTATTTAGCCGTTAAAAACTTTACAACATACAACAATACGACAAGTAAGACACCTTGTGAACCACCCAATTGTTTTCAAATTGAATGCAGCCTACTCAATGGCTTGAAGTTTTGATGATATTTGACAAGCAATGTGTGTGCGGAAATTGAAAGGCAAAACTGATTGTGTGTCGTCAGCGTTAATTGGATTCACCGATCTTAACAAGCTTAGATCGCTGAAACAACAATCCTTTGTCAGGGAAACTCCAGTAAGTAGGGCCGACTTTGTTAACCCTTCGCCGGGCGCAACTGATCTATAAGGCGTAGCCAGCACATTTTTTACCTCGCCGTGCCCTTTTATACCGTTAACTTTGCTGACGCTCATTAGCTGCCTCTTTTGAAGTGCTGTATACAGCAAAACTACTCAGTTTTTGTTTGACTTCCAGAACGAGAATTTATGTAGAATTCGATCTCAGAAGCTCATTGCGCCCAATCTCCAAATTTATTAAATTAATTATTTTTAGAATTATTTTTTAAATTTTATTATTCATCTAAAGTAGCTATTATGTACATGTCCCAGAGTTGAATCTTTATGGAATGTTTGCATTTCTTCTAAACTATTTTACGTTGTATGTTTAACCTTTTGATTTTTTAACTTTATTTTAAGATTTTTGTAGTAGCTGCTAAATTTTGTGTCAAATAAATGGATTTTTACGAAAATGTTTACATTTATTTCTTTTCAACATCCCTAAATGCCGTACCAGTATTCCCCAGATGTACAAACAATATAATTGTTTGTTTAGTATGTGTTTGTAAAAGAGGGCCAGTTAGGCCGTTTCGCCCGAAATTGACAGTCCCCATATTGCGTCTGACGAAGGGTTAAGAGTACACCATCCACTGAACCAGAATTCCATCATCGGAAACCAACGCCACCTGCCGCAGACGGAGAGCTCGAGTTGCTTCGGGAGGCTCGCTATACTTTTTTGCAGTGGAACCTTTCCAATATTCAATTCCATTTCCATTTTCAAAAAAAAAAAAAATGTAAATATTCAATATTTAAGATTCTTGTATATATTTAGAATTTTAGATTAGGTGAAAACACGGTTAATTCGACTATAAGAGTCCGGTTTATTAGTATTCGAAAAATCAAGATTTCAAAAAAGCTGACTAAAAGTATTTGAAAACAAAAATGGTTTGGAGTCACCCTAATATATATACATACACATATGTATTTGTAATGTCAATATGTAAATAGCATCATCTGTGTTAGAAAGCGCGAAAGAAGAAAAACTGAACTATCTATGTATACATATGTATGTGATGTGAGGGAACAAACCCTGCAGGGAAAATGCGAAATGGAGAATCAAAGTCTAGTTCAATACTAGTTCTTTATCGCCAAAAATGAGCCAGGTACCAAAAGCAGCGAAATGTGGTAATTTTAAAAAACTATTTTATTTTACTTTTCAAAACTACATCTCGCTAGCTTAGAATGAAAAGTTGATAAGTCCACTTTTTGTAAAAAATTACATTTTGATGCAAGAAGCAAGAGCAATTAAAAATGCATCGTTTTCTAAAAGATCGAATTACCTACTACGAGCATTTTATTTCTAATCATTCCTATTCAGTAATCCGCAAATTTTTCTAAGTCGAAAATAGTCACAGAATATGTTTATCAATACAAAATCTTTTTACTAGAATTCCAGACGTATGGTAACGAATTTAGAACTGGTTCGGAAATATAGAAAAATGGATGCAGTGGGGGGCGATTGACCTTTCGTAGAACATCGCTTTGTTAAATTCGTCACTTGCTAGTATGAAAAAGAGATTTAACGCGGATTACTTATGTATGTAGTTATGACTCTAAATTATCTAGAACACGAACTGGTGGTGCTTTTGAACACAGGCTTAAAACTTAAGAACTTTTCGAGGCAAATTAATGCCTTTTAGCGCATAAAATATTTTATATATATTTTGTTTATTAATTTATTCGTTTTTGTTTTAACTTAAATTATTAATAAATAAGTTTGTATTGTATTTAATATAAGTCTTTGAATTTTAAGGATTTATATCCATCTCTTTCTAAACCGCAAGGCCTAGTAAATTCTTGATGAGCTTCATGAAACCATTCGTTGCAAACTAGAAAAAAAAATAAATTCTGTGTTAAAGATAAGATAAAATTAAAGTGATTATTTAATGCAAATAAATTTATAGTAAATGTTTTATCCATAGATTTTCTAAAATATGGCTATTACTCCAAAGAACAAAGAACTCCCAAAAATAAAATTATACGGCAATGGAGTCAAGTGAAGTTGAAGCATTAAAATATTAAATTAAGAATAGGAATGAGTGGTTGGTAAAAGAAAAAAATAAAAGGCCTTTTGTGTCTCTAAATGTTATTTTAAAGCGGAGAAAGGCAGCCTCGGGTTTGTGCAAAAATTAGGTATGCATTATAGGCGTTTCAGTAAAGAAATCTTATGCTTTCTGAGGTGAAAAAACAAGTTTTATTTCGCTTAAATAGGATCATATTTAATATTTCCGCCTACAATGTAAAAATCTTCACCATTTTTCATATTTCGTGTTTTTAAAGATTGGGAAGAACATACAGCTAATTTTAGCTTAATCGATGTACGTTACGCGAACATACTTTGTTTTTGTATTGAGGTTTGACATTTCGCCGTCTATAATGGCACAAATCAAACAAATTCACGAAATTCTGTCAAGCGTGATTATCTCACCGCTCTCAATTTACGTAAGACCGTGAATTAAGAGTCCATAATCTACAGGTTCTTAAGTTTCTTACGGTAAGTTAGGTTTTGACTGACCGTTAACACAGTCTCTCATATACCAGGCCGACCAAAATAGTAAGCTAAGTTAAGTCTAAACTAACTGAGCTTTTAGTTTCAGCTTTGCTAAATATTTTGCTACTATTGTAGGCAAAGGGCTACTTTTAAAATGAAAAGCTACAATGCTTCATAAATGGCAACATTTCCATAGATTCAATGTTTTCATTCTCATAGGTGACAATGGCTTTACGTATTGCTAATAGACAGTTCTCCGTAACCGACAGGCATTATCGAGGAGCAGATTGCGCTTTCTGTGGTCACCTTTCCTTAGTCACTTCCTTAGACGAATCGGGAGATGTTAATCATAGATGCCTGACGAGTTTCTTCAAGGGTTCAAAATGGTTCAGCAAATGTGAGTGACAAAACTCTTAAGTCGTGGCATCACAACGGGCCTTCAAATCGTGGTTTAAGTCGATCCCGGCGTAGGATTGGCAGCCACACCTACCCCTCTCCTTGTTATTTCTTTGCGTTCTTCAACCTATTTCTAATATCTAGCCACTATTTAAGAAAATGCATTCAAACGTAAATAAAAATATAAAGGCAAGAAATATTACCTCCATATTATGTAGGGCTGGCAAACTTTCGACAGTTTCCGATACTATTACCCAGAACAACTTCTTTGAGAACACATTTCAAGTCGTCCTCAAAAATGTGGAATATCTTTATGATACTATATTTATTATGAAATATAATGAAATTAGATTTATTTTACCTTTAGTTTTTTTGTAGAAATATAAATCTATCCACTGTGCTTGGTTTACGCCACCTAGACTGGGATGCACAGATATTTTTTTGCTACACCAGTGCATTTCAAACTATGTATAGCTACAATGAACCTCAAAAGTCTTCGCGCAATTTCTGTCCCAAATTTTTTATAAAAATATAGTGAACACTACAACTTAAAACATAAAAATATATTTTCTAAACTTTTTGCAAAACTCAGGAGACTTCAATAAATTTCCAAACACATTTTCAAGTTTCTAATCACCTTTTTTTTAGAAAAATCTAGACAATGAAATTTTGTAGCTTATTTTATTTTCGTCTGGTAAAGTACAAGTTTGAATTTTCTAAAAATTTCATTGGGTTCTGATTTCCCTCCATATAAAATATTGTTGAACTTACTTTGTAGGAAAGAAATAAAATGTTTCTAAAAAATCTGAATTTGCAAAAAGATTAGAAAATGTATGTTTATGTTTTTTGTTTATAAAAATTTAGCGAAAAAAAATTATTTACAAATTTAAGATATACCTTGATCCCAGTAGAACTTAACGCGTAAGTACGGTTTTTAGAGATATCTTGACTCCAGCGACACCTACTGGACCAATTTTAGGAAAAAGTGTTTATGCAAGTATATTCAAATGGCTCATATGTATGTGCTCTGAGTTTTTAGAAATATCTCAGTTCAAACGAAGCCTGCTGGGAAAATGTTCAATTATAATATTTCTTTTTATGCGGCTAATATATTCTCTGAATTTGAATGAAATCGGACTGTTAGTGTGATTTTTGAAATATTTCAATTACAGCGCACAGTCGTTTAAAGCTGGTATTTAGTGTTCATAATTTACTGGAGCCTTAATTTTTCTCTCAATTTGAGTATTTTTCAAACTGAAAGCTTATAAAATTTGCAAGAGACTAGTTGAGTCTGACTTTTGAATTTTTATTATATTATATTAAATTTTTTAGTGTAAATTGCAGAAAAAGTGGCAATTTTGAAGAAAATCGATTCTGCCGTTCCAGTTAATAACAGTTACATAATAAAAACTAGTTGAAAACAATTGTAGAGTTCCCGCAAAATGAAAAAAATAACTAGAAAAATTTGAAATGTTATAAACAAATTTTCAAAAAAAAAAAATGTTTTGAGTCTTAAGAAAAATCTTGGGGTACAAAGTTTTATAGATGATTGAATTTTAGTGCATATCTGTATACTAAATGGGAAATAAAAGCGTGTTGTATTATTAAAAATCAATGCGAATACTTAGCCACTTGCAACTTGCAACTGGTCTCTTGCAAATTTTATAAGCGTTCATGCAATAATAAAATTATCCAAATTGAGTGAAAAATGAAGGCTCCAGTGAATTATGAACACCAAATGCCAGTTTTGCAAAATAGTTAGCAGTACAAACATACGCTATGGATTTGAAATTTTTTCTCAGAAAGCCTTTCGCCAAGAACATCGGGAAAAAAGCAAACTTGTCATAAACATCTAAATTCATTTTTTACTTATCCTACGTATGTTGGGCCACACTCGTTTTAGGGTTCATAGAATTATGTATACACATACATAAATCCTAATATATAACTTCGTAAACCTGGCTTTATCAAAGAATGTATTTGAATACATATGCATATTTTTATCTGGCGGACAAAGTTTGAAAAAAAGTGTTTGAACTTACTCCACTTTGAGCCCACTAATACGGGA